CAATCGATATCTATCTATATATAAGTGGATATCGAAATGATAGAAATAGGAATAGAATCCCGGAGAAAATTCAAAAGTTTCGCACTGTTCTCGAAAGTTTTATTATTAGAGACACAACCAATTGATTTATCCGATCGGTGATCTCATTCGTTGACCTGTTTCTTCTCACAATTTCTTTTTTCGCCGATTGTATTAGAAACGTTGGGCAGACGTTTTGAAAATTTCAAAATTTTTTCCCTAACAAAGTAAATTAAAACTTTAACGCGTTAAAATGTTATATGTGTTATATATATATATTTTTTTTCTTTCGATAAACTAAGCGAGTTAAGCAATAAGATATTCCATCGTAACTTGCATACAAATGAACGATAACGATTTTATTATAATAATTAGAGAAAAAAAAGAGAAAAAATTATCATGAGAGATGTGAACATTAGAACCGGTCGTTTCATTAGAATAGATATCGATCGTTTCCTGTTTGAAAGCATTGAAAAAAACGTGATTAGTCACCGGGTTTTAAATAATCGACGATAATAAAATTACTTTTTATTCGACGAAATTTAACGAATTTATCATTTATCGGCCATGAATTGATTTTGACCCGATCTCATCGATATATATATATATATACGCCACCATTTCCCCTATCTCTTCAGATATCGATCGTAGAAGATTGTTGATACAATTGGAATAATTCACAATTCAAAAATTCCTTTCTCTCTCTCTCTCTCTCTTTTTTCTCTCTCTCCATATGAATATGGATGAAATTCCTGGTCGATTAGTCGATATATTACGCATCGACTTTGATAAATTAATAAAACGGGTGTGGCGTGTCAATGTTACTCAATGATTATTTAATAGAGAAACTCTCCAACGATATCTCTCTCTATTATATTTTCAATCCATTCGAAAACATTCCGCGTCCAATTTTCACGACAATTTCAATTCGAGGCCTATCTATACACCTATATAATTTCTTGGAATAGATAAAAATATTGGAAAATATATATATATATATATA